CCCACCCAAGGAGAGGCAGCAGGCAGACCGGGCCCAGCGTTGAGCCCTGGAGGAATGCTGGGAGCTGCGTAGTCATCCCAAACCCCCGTGCGCGGGCTCCGTTGCCACAAAGCCTGTCCAAAGGGTCCATGTTGGCATCCCTCAACCAAGCTCTTTTTGCCAGTCTAGATGGGAGGCTTACCTCGTCGGCTGCTGTCTCCTGACGGGCCTGGGAAGAGGGAGGGCATGGTAATGGGCAGGAAGCAGAGGCTTCGAAGCCCTGCTTCCAATACTCCTACCCAAGAACCATCAGGAGCGGGTGCCCTACGCCGTGCCAGGTACTGTCTGTCTTGCCCCCATTCATCCCTCCTTCTCAGAGCTGGCACCTTTACCTCCTAAGCTCTGTCCAGGAGTGGGGCGGGGGGAAGAGTGTGGGAGAACAGTGGCTTACTCAAGGGGTCTACAGAGGGCACAGAGAGCAGACCGAGGACACCGTGAACTCCGCCCCCTGTCCCCCCCCACCCCCCGCCATCTCTACCTTTGTTTCCCTCTCTGCCTTCTGGCTGATGCTTCCTGTCAGCTGGGCATCCACCTGGGCAGACGGAGTAAAAAAGGAACTCTTGAAGAGGGGGCAGTGCAGGGGCCCACGCTGGAAAGGGGGACCCAGTTAGGGGCATGGGCTCAGGTACCCCCTCAGCTGGCACCTCCCAAGGCATTGAAAGCCTGCTCAGGCCCCTGGCACTCCCCCAGGCCTCCCTCCTTTCCCCCCACCCACGTGATGTCGGAGAAAACAAGACCATGAATCAATGGGATCCTGTGTTCCTGCAGCCAAAGGTTGGGCACGATGCCCAGCGGGCAGGGAGGCTGCCCATCCTGGGGGTGGGGCAAAGGGAGGAACTGGGCTTCCCTGTCACCCTAAAGAACCTGAGAGTGGGTAGGGCAGCTGGCCATGGTGCTGGGTGTAGGACCAGCCTATGGGTCGGTTAGTACGGGTTGGTACGGGCTGGGCCCGGGAGAGCGAGCAAGCCCGGAGGGAACCAGTGTGGCCTGGCCTCTGACCCCAGGTACCCCTGTCCCGGACTGCCTTTGAGTGCAAACCTGGCCCTGACCTGACCAAAGGGGTCTGGCGTGACATCAGTGAGGGGCTGGGTGGTGCCGGAGCGAGATGGGCATGTCTCTCAATGCCAACAGGCAGGTAGACACACCCAGTGGGTTCTCGCCTCTCTGAATCCTACAGTGGTGGTCCATAGACAGGTGGAGCTTCCAGTGCCTTCCCTACCCCAGGCACAACTGACCCTGGTGGGAGACCTCAGTCCCACTTGTACCTACCTGTGCTCATGTCTACCTGCCCTGCCCACCCACCTTGCTGTTTTGAGGCTCCTCCAGGCAGAAGCAGCGGGTGTAGACCTTGCCTTCAGTCTGTGGATTGATCTCGATGAGCTCATTGCTCTGGGTGTCCCGGCGGGCCTTGGAGGTCTCTGGGGGACACTGTCCGGAGTGGGGGAAGGCCTGGGGTCAGTACAGAAGGCAGACCCCCCCCACCCAATCATCCTAAGATCTCAGTGCATCCCCATCCTGGCCACCCACCTCCGCACACTATGCCCCTGGGAAGTGTCCCAGACCTTCCCAGCTGGGCCGGAGCTGGGCCACTCACCCCTCCTGGTAAGATCTCACAGCATCCCTCCTCCAACACAAGCTCTGCGTCACAGTAGATATGTGCCTGCTGAAGGTCAAACTGCAGGGGGTACAATACACAAGTCAGTTTCCCACTTCATTTGATCAAACAGCTCAGTGTCCTGGCTGCCCGGGAGGCCCCGAGATGGCTCCGCCCCAGGATCTGCCCTCAGAGGGTTTCCAGTCTCACCTGGGGAGACCATCAGGAGTATAGCTGTCACCAAAAGCGAAACAGAGCTGCGCATGCAGGAAAGAGAGGAGGGAGAAAAGTTCACTTTGGCCCAGAGGAACAGGGGCAGAGGACGTTCCATTTCAGCTGGGCCTTGAAGGACCAGTAGCTACTCTGCAGATGGGTGTGCATTCCAGGTGGAGGCGACAGCATAGTCAAAGGTGAGCAGGCGGGAAAGTAGCAGGTGAGTGGACGACGAGGAAAGAATTGACCGGAGTAAGCCGTACAGACAGATGTAAAGGAGGAAGACACCGTAGACATTTCTAGGGACCAGATCATGAAGGGCCTTGAATGCCAGGTTGATATGCATATGCTGCATCTGGAGGGCAGTGGGGAACCCCAAGAGGAGTCTGAGCAAGGGAAGGACCTGGTCAGAGACAGATTCCAGGGAGCGCACTCAGAGTCTCGGAACGTGGGAGCACAGGCAGCACCCCACCCAGCACTCACCGAGACGGGTTTCCCCTGCTCAGCATCCAAGCCCAGAAAGACGTGGCCCACGGGCTGCAGGGGTCGCCGGGGCCCCAGAGGCTGAGAGGAGGCTGAGGTGCAGTCCACATGCACGGAGGCCACGCGTTCAGCCACACTCAGCCCCAACTTGTGCCAGCGCAGGTCAAAGAGCTGGGGCACTGGGAAGATGCAGGACACAAAGTCGCCATCTTGGCCCCGGGCCCGGAGCTCCAGGCTCTGCTCTCGGCTGTTGACTTCCAGGGAAATCTGTGTGGCATTGGGGAAGGAACGAGACAGAGAATCAGAGCCCCACAGGCTCAGTGTGGCAAAGCTCTCAAGGTCATTTCACAGGAGGAGGGACTGAAGCCCAGAAAGAGTCAGAAGCTGGTAGGGCCACAGAGCAGTCCACCCTGAAGGAAGGGGATAGGAGCTGCCAGGGGTGGGGTAGCCTCGAGGGTGGGCGCCGGGGATGGGGCAGAGAGGCCCCAGAATTTACAGGCTGGGACAGAGGTTGGGCTGGACTGGTACTGCTCGATGCCTCAAGGGCCACGGGGGGCGGGGGAGGGGGGTCCAGCTCACCTGTGGGTACCCATCTCCGTCGGTCACTTGAAATAGATACCACGTGCTCTGATGGGTGTGTTTCTTCAACAAGAGTGTCAGCACCAGGACAAACTCATCGGGGAGGCCCCGAGGGAATACTCGTCTGGGGGCAGAGCAGGGAGGGGACCCTGAGGCTCAGGTGAGAGACCACCTGCTGCCCACCCTGGGCCCTCAGGACTGCCGAGCCCACGCGGGACTCACACAGGCCCACACCTTCAAACCGACACATACATATGCACGTCCATCCGCTCTATCGACATTAATCGAGAGCCTACTATGTGCCAGGTGGGTCCGGCTGCTGGGGGCGGCAGTGATGAAAACACAGAGAAGGTTCCCGCCCTCGTGGAGCCTTCAAGTCTAATGGGGGAGTGGTAGGACCCTAAACAAAGGTAGGACCCTAAACAAAGAATCCCCAGGATGACTATGTCACTATTTCAAGATAACTGTGGGTAAGTTCTTCTGAGGAATCCAGGATAACCAGGACTTGGGTGGGAGAAGAGGTGCTGGCAAAAGATAAAAAGCATTCAGCGTGACTGGAGCCGCAAGTAAGAGGAACATTTTTGAAGGTGAGGGTGGAGAGGGAAGCAGGGGCCAGGCCCCCTGGGACTGTGGGAGTTTGAACTTCACCCACAGGCACATGTGGGTGTGTGCATGCATGCGCGCGCGCGCACACACACACACACACACACAGGCACACATACCCACATACACATACCCACACACACATACATACACACACACACACACACACACGACTCTTGCCAGGTTCCCACCCCCATCCTGGGGTCTCCACAGTGTCTGTAGGATATAGACCTGTCCCCCGACTGCTAGCCAGAGGTAGGGGAGGGACAGAGGGTGTGTGTGCCAGGCATCTCCTCTGTGCCTACCCTGCAAGCCCCACGGGCGGAAACCAGGTTGACTCCCGGCAACAGGTGTGATAAAATGACCCACGGGTGCCCCTGAGTTTAGGCCCCATGTCCAGAGTTGCTGGGGAGTATTAATGCCCAGTTCACACTGGGGCCTTTACCGCACTGGCTGGGTGAGCGGGGCTGCCCCCAGTCGAAGGATGAGAGGCCCCTTGGGGTTGCGGATCTTCTTAATGGCAGATGTTTTCATGAGGCTGAGTCGATGGATGAGGTTAAAGCCTTTGGGGGAGACACCAGATGAAGAGCTCAGCTGGGCAGGTGAGGAGGGGGTAATAGCCACTTTAGGAAGATGGGAGAGAGGGGACAGCAGAATGAGATGGGCACTCACCGGTCACATTGGTCGATAAATGGCTTCTGTGTTCCAACCTGAGTCCTTCCTCTTGTAAAGGTGGGCATTGCTCGCCTGGAAGAGAATTGGCAGTGGGCCAGTCAGTGGACTCTGGCTGAAGAGTCCAGGCTCTTGGGGAACCTGGAGAGAAGCAAGTTTTTGTACCCCATTCTGGACCTTTAACCGGGCCCAGCCTTGGGGCTGCTTTTACCTCTTGCCTTCTGACCCTGGCTGCCCTGGGAGCCAGGAGGACCCCCAGTATACAGATGGGAAGACAGAGGCCCAGAGACTGAGGCTGGGCCCAAGGCCATGAAGTGAGTTCACAGCAGAGCAGGACCAGAACTCCTGGAATCCAAATTCCCCCAGGATACCAAGTCAGGCGGCAGGTGAGCAAGAGAAAGAGCAAAAGAAACTCTGGGCAGCCCTAGAACTCAGATGGGGTAGAGAGCGGGATATATACCGGTGCTCCCTCCTGCACATACACCCTAGCAGGGGGCAGGGGGCACCTCGGGGTAAAGAAAGTCACATTATGCACGCTTGTGTTATATGCAAGCACCTGAGCATGTCTGCACACGTGTGAGTTACAGATGCCCACGCCACTGGGAATGCCACGTGCAGCTGGTACACGTGTTCTCTGCCGTGGGAGGGGCTTACTTCCTACATCTAAAGCAGAAAAGCAGACCAGACACAAGTCCGAGCCAACAGAATGACTTTTCACCTGAATAACTACCTTATGAAACAAACAGTAAGAAGAGACTGAGGACCTGAAGGGACCACAAGCTCAAGGGAACCACCAGGACCTTGGGGCTCCAGACAGGGTATATTAAGTGGGTGAAGGCTCCTAGAGAAGGATAGCTTAATTATGGTCTCCAAAACCCTGAAGGGACAGACAGGCAGCTGTGGGCTTGCCTCCTCTTAGGGTTGACTGAGCAAAATGTCAGGAAAGATGCTACAACAGGAGATAAAGGCCAGACTCACAAAGGCCTTCCCATCGCTGCAGGTGGGATAGCTGGGACAGGACAATGGATACAGCTCCTAGAAGCTGGGCATTGGACTCCCTGACTGCCTAGCTGGAAGAAGGAATCCTGGATCCCTAAGCCCAGTCACCCCACCGAAGTCTCCCTCCCCCAGGTCTGGCCAGAATGACTATCACTGTCTTCGGCATCAGCAGCAGCAATGGGTGACTCACCCCTTGGCAATGGGCCCAGATTCCTTACAGATGTTGAAATTCTCTGCCCCAGCCCCCAGGGGACCTGGTGAGGGAGAGAGCAAGGCACACGCACATACATGCAGAAACACATATATACACACACAACCTTCAGGCAGTCACATGCACCCTGGCTGCACACCCCTCTCACATCTGCACCTTGCTTTTTCTGCCCCCCTCGGCTCGATTTGGGTTCTAGGAGTTCTATTTCTGCTCAGCTGGGCAGCTAAGCTACGAAGCCCAGAGGGCACCCATCAGGGCAGGGCAAGTTGCCCGGTCAACTTCCTCTGGCTTTGGGCCCTGGAAAGCTGCACCCTCTGTCCCATCCAGCGTCTGGGCCTCGAGGTGGGCCCTTTATCCGGGATCCAGGGCCAGCTGTGGAGGAGGAGGAGCACGTGGGCTGGAGGATGGATTCTCCACCATGGAAAGGATTGGAAGGGCTTGGGCCTCTTTCAAGATGCAGCTTCCTTCTTCAGGGACAGACCTCACTGGCCCCGGCCAGCACTGTGTGCACAGGATGGGTTCATATGCCGGGGGTGGGGGTGGGGGTGGGGGGAGGCTTGTTCGCTCACACACAGAGACACAGGAATAGGCGCAGAGACACTCTGTGATGCAGAAAGGCTCCGGGACAGACAGACATGCAGACAGAAGCACACAGACACTCTGGCTCACACTGTACCAACACCCCAGGCCACGCTGAGCCCACCCTCCGACTCTCCATAAATGCCCGCGTGACCCAGGCACATGGTCACACCTGTACCTCGGCCCCCAGCATCTCAGGGAGCCCGTCACAGGCCGATGGCACCCCGATCCTCATGTGGCACCTCACCTGTATCTGCCCCCTGGCTGCACACGGCCCAGAGACTGAGCAGCCACAGGCCAGGAACCCAAGATGCCCACATCCTGGTCCAGAGAGGTCAGCCCCAGCACCTGAAAACCACAGAGACCGGGAAGGTGGCTTCCTGAGCTCACACGGCATGATACATGGGCAAGTAGCAGCCGGCCCCTGGGGCCCAGGCCCTAGTACTGGGGTGGCAGGAGGGCTGGCCAGGCATCAATCCCTCTCAGAGGCCTGACCACAGGCCTTGGGCTAGGATTTGGGCCAGGGTGATATTCAAAATATTTAACCACCGGTATGGCATGGGCACCAACCCGCCAGAGCAGAATGCTGGCTGGAGCATTCTGGGTCCAGGCAGCATTGGATGGCGCCAGTGGATAGTTGCTGGGTTAAGGAGAGATCTAGAGGGTCCTAGAAGGCCAGGTGAATTGGGATAGTCAGGGGGCTTGAGACAGAGACTATTTACCAAGACACTTAGAAGTATCTCGATATTTTATCAACCTGTGTAGCACTGTATTGCTATATACTAGCCTGGTACCTGGCCAGCTGCACCCAGCTCAGCCAGGCAGTCCTGCCAGGCACCCACAAGGTCAGGGGCTGAGTCTCGTGGCAGGCATCACAGAGTTGTGTGCAGGCCAAGGAAATTTCCCCCATGGGTACAGTGGGTGGGAGAGCAGGTCACCGGGCTCAGGACCTCGTTGCCAACCTCTCCCTCTGATGGATGCTCGTCTTTTAGTTTTATTAAACCCTGATGGATGGGCCCAGATAAATCAATGCAGGCTCAGCAAGCGGCCAGCAGACCCATACATCATCCGGCCTCCCCTGAGACAGGCAGCTCGCACGTGCACACACAGAGTCATTCATGTGTCAGCATGACACACGCAGATACACGGGCACATATCCACACAGACACATTTGTGCCAGCGCGTGCATACACACCTACCTGCACACAGACTCGCTCACAGAGACACATGTTCACCGATCTACCCAGACATACCAGTTTGCACATACACACGTGCACATAGCCAGCCTATGACTACCCCTCCAGTAGGCCCTCCTGTCGGGAAGTTCTTATGCAAGTCTGACCTCATTCCCCCCAGCTGTTACGGAATTCTATTTCCCTTCCTTCGGTCCTGAATAGGGAGTGAGTGCAGGAAGGACCCCTCACCTCAATATAGTTGGAGATAGAACCCTGATCCCCTTCTTCCTGGGGCAGAACTGTTCCTCCACCCCACTCACCCTCCTTCCTAGTGGTGGGCACATCCCATCACTCAAAACCCTATCCTGGCCTCCCCATCCTGCCAGCGGAAGGGCTGCCAACTGTGGGAGGCAATGTGAACGCATGTGGAGGTGGGAATATCGGTGTGCTTGTCCTCTTCCTGCTCCTCATCTCCAGCCTCCACTCCCCAGGCCCCAGCCAGAGCAGGGGCTGCAGGGATAGCAGAGAAGCTTCCAACGATGTGATCCCATCCTAATACAAAGGCGCAGATTTGGGGGCAGGGAGAGCAGAACGGGGATGGAGTTTAGAGCTCTCCTATAGAGAAGGCGACTGAGGTCCAGAGGCGGGACGCCACTTGGCCCAAGTCACACAGCAAGGTGGAGGCAGAAGAGGCGCTTCAGCGCAGAGCCCCGAGGCAGCCCACTCCACCCCCCGACACGCACACACTTACCGTGGCTGGGGATCCCCCACCTCACTAATCCAGGCAGCCCAGGGCAGCCAGTCAGCCAGGGTGAGGGCGGCCTGGGTTCCTCAGGCCCGCGGGGAGGTCCTCGATCACTTCCGACGGCCCGAAACCCCGGCTTCCCAGGTCGCTGGCTCCGGGGGCTGAACGCTGCCCCGCGAGCGAGCGCGCGCCTGTCTGCCGGGGACCGCCGGCCACTCCGGGTGGGGGAAGAGGGGCGGTTCCAGGGGGCTGGGGACGTGCCAGGGCGGCTAATGGAACACAGCTGGACCCGCCCGCCGAGCGGGAGGCGGGAGGCGGGAGGGAGGGCCGGGAGGGGGCTCCGGCGG